CAGGCAGGACTGGCCTAGGGGTATTTTAAAGGGGTTTTAAATTAAATTTTTAGTAGAAGCGGCCAAATTTAAATAGTTATTTTTAATCTTTTTAAATTTTGTATTGTATCACTGTTTTAAACTGGCTGTAAGCCGCCCTGAGTCCTCCGGGAGAAGGGCGGGGTATAAATTTAATAAAATCTAAATCTAAATCTAAATAAGTTCCTTCTCCAAGTCTTCAATCGATGCAGAAGGAACCCATCCTAGAAGATTATCTAGCCGGTTTAGAGCTAGATAATAACCCATTCTTACTCAACTTGCTGGCTGAGAATTTCAAGGACAATTGTTCAAGACACTTGGAGAAGGTCAGCCAGATTAAAGAAGACTGGCATAGTGGTTAGAGTTGTGACATGCTGAAGAAATGACAGAATATCTCTATTCATTTATGCCAAAGGCAATTATTGTATATACTGTTGTCTTAATGCCATACAGCAGTGGTGGCAAACCTATGGCACGCGTGCCAGAGATGGCACTCAGAGCCCTCTCCGTTGGCACGCGCACCACCGCCACCAGCAGCAGGTCCATCAGGCCGCCACCGCCGCCCAGAGCAGGAGCCCCACCCAGCACAAAGGAGGCGAAGCGGCCGACTAGCATTTTACATGCGTCCATGCGCACATGGGGCCACAAGCACACACGTACTGCAAATGGGGCAGGTCTAGTGCCTGTGTGATACTCACTAGCCCTGCCCCGTTCTTGTGTGGTGCAGCGCCTTATATCTGCACCCTGCGGCGCGGCGTCAGCCGTTTTTGCGCCTTGCAGCATGGTGGTCCATTTTTATGCCCCCGTTTTTTGCATGCCAGAGGCGGCACTCAGAGGCGCCTCCCTGCCCCTCCCCCCGAGGGCACCACAATGCTAATGCGGCCCTGGCACTTTGCAAAAAATAAGTGGGTTTTGGGTTGCGGTTTGGGCACTCGGTCTCTACAAGGTTCGCCATCACTGCCATACAGAATAACATTGGTCCTGCTAAATGGCACTGGCACACTTCACTTCCCAATACCCCTCACCATTGCCAGGGGACCACTGGAGCTTCCTGTGTATCAATATACAGAGGACCATACATTAGAAAGCCCTCTTCTAACGGAGGAATTACAGAACTGAAAGCAGAAGGAAACTAATATACTATCAACTGACATAAATAACAATAAAATCTGCTATTCCTTATCTGGAGATTTGGGCTCTTTGTTAGAATCATAGAGGTGAAGGAATCCAATTTCTGAGCAACTATTGACTCATTCTTCTTCCTTATTCCCAAAGTCATTTCTTCCATAATTGTGCTGTACACGCTTATATGGTTTACCCTTTGTGACAGGCATTGATTCGTCGTCACAACTTCTCCAGGAGTTCAAGGAAACACACACAACAGACAGTACCACTGTATTTTATTCCCACAACATCCCGGTGGGTACATTTGGTTGGGAGAACCACACTCCCTGCACCAAAAGTCCAAAATCACCCCACGCGATCCACAATGTGGTCAAGAATTGGGACTTGGGTTTCTCTACACAGCTGGCTGGGGAATTCTGGGAGTTGAAGTCCTCCTATCTTAAAATTGCCCAGGTTGAGAAACCCTGTGTGTAGGGGCCCTTATTCTGGAAAGTAGAACTTGGGTTCCTAATGACAAAGTATTTCTCTTCTTCACTCTTCTGAATGGAGAAGCAATCCTTGATTTCAGACAAAAACCTGCCCCACCTGAACTCTGCTGTTAAGGAGCAGAAGAAGAACTTTATGAGGCTACCATCCCCTAACCCGGTTTTTCAGAAGAAGCTTTCTTAAGCAAATGGGTGTTCACTAAAGGATGGTAGCACCAATATGGGACTTTCAGCTCTGAACGGCTAGGTCTTGCCCCTAAATCTGGGGTAGGCAACCTGGGCTCTTTCATGACTCGTGGACTTCAACTCCCAGAATTCCTGAGCCAGCCACACTGAGGGAAAAGGGAGAGGTTTCCAAGCTGAGCCAGGCTGGCTCAGGAATTCTGGGAGTTGAAGTCCACCAGTCATAAAAGAGCCCAGGTGGCCTACCCCTGCCCTAAATGATATAAAATTCCAGTTGCAACAGAAAAAAGCCAAAATTTCATTTATACCCCAGACTGCATCTAAAGACTACGTTCATAATTCTGATTTAACCACAGAACTGGGTTTGCACAAAGTACGACAAACTATGGTTTACAAGCCCTGGTGGCCATTTTCAAACAAAACCCTGAGCCAGAATCACATGATTAGAGGACGGGGGAGCGTGTGAACCAGGCCAGCGCATACCCATCTTTCGAGGCTAAGCTCCGAGTTAAACTTGGCAGAAAAACTTTCTAATTCTGAGCAAAACGTGGAGTAAGTCCGCCACCCTATTCGGTTTTCTTCCCAAAATAAAGCTGGTTGTTGTTAGGAGCCCCGGCCGTCCTCCGCCCGGTGGGGGCAGCGTGTTAATAACCTCGGAGGAAGGCTGGAGTAGAGGGACTTACCCAGAAGATGAAGCTGATAAACAGCAGCACGCTCTTGGAAACCATCACCCCCAGGTCCATGCTGCCCTTCCGAGGCTTTCCCGAGAAGGAAGAGAGGAGAGGGAATTAGAAACGCGCCTTGGTCCTCCGACTAAGAGAAAGCAACCTGTTCCGGCCGGTGCAAGGAATTTACTGAGCGCGGCCAGTTTATCACATGAGATCCTCCGAGGTTGCTATTTCCTGGACGGCGAAACCCGAAACTTTCCAGCAACTTCACCTCCCTCCCTCCCTCCCTCCGCCCTTATTTTGACGAACAAGGCTACCGCAAACTTGCTAAAACAGCTGCACAACAAAAGGGAGGTACCGAACGGTTCCTAGTAGCAGGCTCCCCCCGGAAAATGGCTTTTCTGCCAGCAAGATCTTCTCCTCTAGTCCAGGGCTTTTCAACCTTTTCACCCATTGTGTCACTTTTAGGATATGGCAACATCCGAGGACCACCAGTCGCCTAGCAAGGGGTGAAAAACTTGGTGACCAAAAAAAAAAAAAAGGGAAAAAGTGATAAAAGTACAGGTGGTCCTCGACTTACAACAGTTCGCTTAGTGACTGTTCGAAGTTACAATGGCACTGAAAAAAGTGCCCCCCAAGCCACAGCCGAGCAAGACACCTGCCTGCCCACCCGGCCGTGCTCTTCCTCCTGTCCGAGGTTTCCATTGTGAGCATTTCTGTTGAGGATTGGCAGCGGGGGTGGGGTGGGGGGGTGTTTGGTTTTTATTCCCCCCGTCTGCTGGGTGGTTGCAGCAGGTTTTGGTCCCTTCACATGACCCTGGGACACTGTGACCGTCATAAATATGAATCAGTTGCCAAGCATCTGAATGTAAATCACAAGACCCTGGAGAGGCTGCAACATTCCAGCTGATTGGTGCTTCTTCTGGGCTCAGCAGAAGCACCAGGATCAGGGCCGAGGTCCAGCTGGATCCTGGCGCTGATCCTGGGGCTTCCGCTGAGCCCTGACAGCCCTGCAGCTCCAGCCGTCTCTCACTCAGGCTTGTGCGGTGCTGCCACCGGTTCAGCTCATTCCCCTCCCCCGCTACCACTTTTCTAGGATGGTTGCGTACCACTTGCCAGGTGCCCATGGACCACAGGTGGTACCCAGACCACTGGTTGAAAAGCCCTGATCTAATCCAGCCTGGTGCAAACGGTCCAAGACTGGCTGTGTTCACAAGACACAGTAAGCTAACTTCAAGTGCATTATACTTTGCTGAATGAACTCAGTTACCAGCAATCGCAGTGCAGACTGAATTATGAGGGGTCCTTGGTGCTCTCTGAGCTTGGTTGCTTTCTTGCAGACGTTTCATTACCCAAACTAGGTAACATCATCAGAGTTAGTCACTGATCACTCTAGCCCTGATGATGTTACTTAATTTGGGAAATGAAACGTCCGCAAGAAAACAACCCACCTGAAAGAGCACCAAGGACCCCTCATAGTCCAGTCTGCATTGCGATTGCTGGTAACTTGAGTTCATTCAGTGTTCAGAGAGTAGCCAAGGATCCCTCAGTTCAACGCTGAGCTACAAATATTCTCGTTTATTGAGACAGAATTATAAGCTAGCCTATGTAATATATGGGTCTATATATTTTTATTTTGTTTTTGCTTTTTTAAAAATTTTTATATTTTACTCTTGGCAGATACACCAACAAGTCCCTGCAATTTTCTTGGCAGCATTTTCAGAAATGGTCTACTCTTTTCCAGGGGTTGGCAACCTTGGCTCTTTTAAGACTGGTGGACTTCAACTCCCAGAATTCCTGAGCCAGCATGGCTCAGCTTGGAAGCCTCTCCCTTTCCCCTCAGCATGGCTGGCTCAGGAATTATGGGAGTTGACGTCCATGAGTCACAAAAGAGCCATAGTTCCCCCATGCTGGCTCAGGAATTCTGGGAGTTGAAGTCCACGAGTCATAAAAGGGCCAAGTTTGAAGACCCCTACCCTAGGCCTAGAGTCTAGACCAGGGGTAGGTAACCTGGGCTCTTTTATGACTTATGGACTTCAACTCCCAGAATTCCTGAGCCAGCATGGGGAAAACTTTGGCCCCTTCATGACTCATGGACTTCAACTCCCAGAATTCCTGAGCCAGCCTGGCTCAGCTTGGAAACCTCTCCCTTTCCCCTCAGCATGGCTGGCTCAGGAATTTTGGGAGTTGAAGTCCACGAGTCATAAAAGAGCCAAAGTTGCCTACCCCTGCTCTTGTCTTTGTCTTCCTGAGTCTGAAAAGGATGGGCCCAAAGGCAGGACTAGAACTCAGTTCCCTAGATTCTAGCCTAGTGTCCTTAACCACCATGCCTAACTGGTTCTCAGACAGCCACTGTACTTGAGGCTTGGCACCTAGCAGGCTGTTGTTGATACCAACGAGATACCAACTTGGTTCTGACTCTGTGGCTGCTTGCGCATGGCATCTTTGATCATGATTTCTACAATTTTTCCCCACTTTCTGGGACCACACAAAATCCTGGTCTATAAGCTAATCAAATTGGGATTCTACCCCATGTTAGATTAAAACGTGTCTGGTTAGCTTGTGGTTCAATGTGACATCATCATAAGTCCCACCCATAACATACAGAGGTTGAGGGACTCACATTAAGCCAGCTAGGAAATTTATTTGTTTTAGGCCACCATAGTCTGCAAACCAGGTAGTCCTCGACTTATGACCACAGTGGGGAGCAGAATTTCTGTTGCTAAGCAAGGCAGTTGTTAAGTGAGTTGTGCTCAATTTTACGACCTTTTCTGCCACAATTGTTAAGAGAATCACTGCAGTTTTTAATGGAATTATGCAATCATTAAGCAAATCCAGTTTTTCCTGTGGAATTTCCTTGTTGGAAGCCTGTTGGAAAGGTAGGAAATGTCAATTATGTGACTCCAGGACACTGCAGTGACTGTCACAAACACCTGCCAGACCAAGAGCCCGAATTTTGGATATTTGATCTCCTTTTGCGACCTTCTGACAAGCAAAGTCAATGGGTGAGGCCAGATTCACTTAACAGTCATGTGACTAACTTAACAACTGCAGTGATCCATTTAAGAATTGGGGCAAGAAAGGTCGTAAAATGGGGCAAAACTCATTTAACAACGGTCTTGCTTAGCAACGGGCATATTGGGTTCAATTGTGGTCATAGGTTGAATACTACCTATAACATCTTCATTTTCAGCAAGGCCTTTATAGTATTTATTAAGGAAATTATATGGCCATCCATCATATATACTATTGTTTGATTTTTATCCTACTTTTACAAATAACTCAGCAACCATACATAATACAGCCCTGTCTTCCTATTTTCCCCACAACAACAACAACCCTGGGAGACAGGTTAGGCCAGGGGTGTCAAACTGCCGGCCCATGGGCCGGTTTCATCATACTGAAGCTGCGCCCAGCCCATTGCTGGCAATGCAAAAAGAGTCACGATACGTCACGACACGTCACGTGACGTGGCAAGTTGACACCCGAGGGTTAGACTGAGAATGACTGGCCCAAAGTCAACCAGCAGGCTTTGGGGCCTAAGGCAGGATTAGAACTCACCATCTCCTGGTGATCGGCCCAAAGTCACCCAACTGGCTTTCACGCCTAAGTAGGACCACAGTAGCTCACTAAAACTCTGGGAGGCTAGCAAAATAAAGAAAATAAAACATATAAGAAGCCATTTATAAAACACATATACAAAAAAACTGCACTTGGGAGCCTAAAGCAGCATCCCCAGGAACAACAGCAGTCCCTTTACTAAGGTTTTGCTAAGTGGGAGAGAGCTAATTCACCTTCTAGTAAAACAAGGTTTTGTGAATGGCCACTTCTGGGCCATTTTATGCACACTTCTCCCCAGTCCAGTGTTCCAGAATTGGCCCACAGCCTTACCTCACAACTCAGGCTATCAATATCCAGAATACACACATAAAAAAAACCCAACCTCTTAGGAATGTAGATATTTCTGTGGGCTCTCATCTTGCAGTAAGCTATGGCTTATTTTAACCATGGTTTATTAAATAAACTGTCTGGATTTATATAAAATGCAAAACCATAAACCACGGCTGGATTCGTACAACGCTCTAACCCACATTGAGGCTTAATGAAATGAGTGATCCTAATTTGAATCTCAGTGAAAACTTTTTTGAGAGTGTCAAAACTGGACAAAATGGCTCTGTTTTATTTCCTTTGAACCATCCTCATTTTACACGCCAGCTTCTCTGGAGGTAGAAAAAAAATGTTATGGCCTTTCATTTTTGAGCTACTTCAGAAGCAATTACTGAGTTACTGAAAGCAAACAGGCACCACGAGGGGGCAGAATTCTCCTTTTTTTAAAAGAATGAGAATAGATGAAGGGAAATGATCGCTTTCCTTTAATAAATAGAAAAGTCACCTTTAATTAGCTCTTTGTTGCACGTCCTACCACTATATTCTTTATAATGCTATAAGGAAAAACACCATTAAAAGTATCCCTAAAATGCTTTCTTCTTTCTCTTTTTAAACATTACCAGAAGATCATGGGAAGAAACAACTGAGGCCCATCGACCGGCCTTTCTTCTCACCTTGCCAGGCAGAGGGACTTCCCGAAAGAGGACTGGGTGAGCCGAGGGCCTCTTCCCAAGACAGACAGCACAGCCCAAGGAGGGGCAAAGAGGGGAGGGCTGCCTGGGCTGGTCAGAGGGCTGGGTCCCCAGTCACACAGGGCCCCTCCGATGTCATAACAGAGGCCCTTTGCATTTGACTTGGAAACAGACCGGTAGCCAGGACAGTGGTCTGAACAGTCAAGCTCCCCGGCCTCAGATAATAATAATAATAATAATAATAATAATAATAATAATAATAATAATAATAATAATAATAATAATAATAATAATAATAATAAAGTTGGAAGGGACCTTGGAGGTCATCAAGTCCAACCCCTGCCCAGGCAGGAACCCTAGACCGTTTCAGACAAAGGGCTGTCCAGTCTCTTCTTAAAAACTTCCAGTGTTGGAGCCTTCACCGCTTCTGGAGGCAGGTTGTTCCACTGGTTAATTGTTCTCACTGTCAGGAAGTTTCTCCTTAGTTCCAGGTTGCTTCTCTCCTTGCTTAGTTTCCATCCGTTGCTTCTTGTCCTGCCTTCAGGCGCCTTGGAAAATAGCTTGACTCCCTCTTCTTTGGGGCAGCCCCTGAGATACTGGAAGGCTGCTATCCTGTCCCCCCTCGTCCTTCTCTTCATTAAACTAGACATCCCCAATTCCTGCAACCGTTCCTTATATGTTTTAGCCTCCAGTCCTCTAATCATCTTTGTTGCTCTTCTCTGCACTCTTTCTAGAGTCTCAACATCTTTTTTACATCGTGGTGACCAAAACTGGATGCCGTATTCCACAGTGCGTTCCAACGCTTCAAAGGGGCTATCATAAAGATGTGCGTCTTCACGGTTGTCTCTGATGCACGATGTCATATATACAGAGACATGCGTGACGCATACACGCTAGTTGGGTGTGCCCTGCCAATCCAGACATTGTCTCTGCGGGTTGTGAGGACCAGGCTCTAATCTAGCTTGTAGAGTCGTTGGTGTTCTCTGAGTTTGGTTGTTTATAGGTAATCCTCAATTTATGACTAGTCACTTAGAGACCAAGGTTACAACAGATCTAGAAAAAGGAACTTATGATCCGACTTCAAAGTTCTGACATCCGCCACAAGAAGCAACCTAGAACTAAGGAGAAACTTCCTGATAGTGAGAACAATTAACCAGTGGAACCACCTGCCTCCAGAAGCGGTGAAGGCTCCAACACTGGAAGTTTTTGAGAAGAGACTGGACATCCACTTTTCTGAAATGGTATAGGGTTTACTGCCTGAGCAGGGGGTTGGACTAGAAGACCTCCAAGATCCCTTCCAACTTTTTTATTGTTGTTGTTGTTGTTGTTGTTGTTGTTATTATTATTATTATTATTATCATCATCATCATCATCATCATCATCATCATCATCATCATCATTATCATTATCATTATTACATTTTGGACGCTTAGCAACCAGCCCATATTTATAACCCTTTGCAGCACACCTACAGTCACATGACCCCGATTAAGAACGGCGTTTACTTCTGGCTTTTGGCAAAAACTACCCCATGGCAAACAGCGAGTTCATTTTATGACCGCCGTTTTTTGCTTACCAACTACCACAAAAGTTGTAAAATGAGGCTGGGTCATTGCTTGACGACCATCATGATTTAAAGCTGTAATTGTGGGCCTCGATTATAGTTGTAACTCGAGGACTAACTGTATTTGCAAATGTTTCATTACCTGACTAGGTAACATGGTAGTGAGTGTTAAGTTTGCTTTCTGTTTATACCCAGTAGCTGGTCCTTCCAATGGGGGGGGGTGTTGTTGTTGTTGTTGTTTTCTCCTGGGTATTGTTTTCTGTTTGCTGGTCAGTCTGGCGTTAATCCCTGATTCTCTGGGTGTTGACTTCTGGTCTTCTCATTTCCTTCTCAGCTTTTTTATAATCTCTTCTAAAAGGTGTACAAATAGAGTTTATCTCTATTTATCTAATATTATCTAGCATGTGTAAATGTTCTCTAATATAATCTCCACCTGTCTAATAATATTCTAATGTGGCTTCTTTGGGCATAATATACTAAATGAATTCTGGATGTTTTATTAGTCTGGGTTGTGTGAACCTGCATAATTCTTTCCAACATCCTTTCCCTTTTCATCCAGCCCATGACTGATACCCGAGATTGATAGTTCTAAAAACTGAAGCAGATGATATTTGGCCTTACACGTGAAACTTTCCTCGGGGGTCTTCCACAAGAGGCAAAAGAGCAGAGGGTCACCATTGTTCCGGTCAAGTAAAGCCAGTAAAAAAACAAAAAGCAGGCTCCAATCTCCCTCGCTCATTCGTGAACTGGCTGAAATTACTTTTTGGGAACTGCAGTTTTTAACAAGGAAACTCTTAGGATAAATGGGGGGGGGGAAGGACTGGCTGCAAAAGCCCCTCGCCCCCTCCCAGGCAGGGGGATCCCCCAGGCGAGGCCCCGGCGGGGGTCGCCCCTGTCTGGTGACGTCACCGTCCCCGGCGTTGGTTGCCGCGGCAACTGCGGCGCGTCGGAACCCGCGGCGAGTCCGAGAGGCGGCCGGCAGGATGATGGACGACCGGGGCCGCGTGTACCGGGAGGTGACAGGCCCCAAGCCCTACGTCGTGGCCCTCGTGAGTCGCCGACGGGGAAGGGGAGTGCCCTGGTGAAGGGGGGGAGGCGCGAGCCAAGCAGCTAGTCCTCAAGGCCGTTCCGCCGCGCGCGGCTTTCCCCGGGCACAAACAAGGCTTCGTCCCGTTTGCTCTCGCGATGGGGGAAGCCGCCTACCGAGCTAGCACGGGTCCTCCCCTCCAGACGTCGGAGCTGCAGGCAGCCCCGGACACGCGTTTTCCTCTAAGAAGCCCAAAGAGCAGCAGGTCCCGGCGGGATGTGGAGCTGGCACAGATTAATAATAATAATAATAATAATAATAATAATAATAATAATAATAATAATAATAATAATAATAATAACAACAACAACAACAACAACAACAACAACAACAACAAAACAACAACAACAAAACAACAAATAATAATAATAATAATAATAATAATAATAATAATAATAATAATAATAATAATTAATAATAATAATAATAATAATAATAATAATAATAATAATAATAATAATAATAATAAAATGCATTGGCTGGGTGGCTTGCAATGTTTTCCGGGTTTTGCAAATCGCCAGAACCTAATTTGGTATCGCTACTTTAATAACTTGCATGAAAAGGAATGAAGCTGCTTGCCGCTGTTGGTCCTGTACAGTGTGAGTCTGGGATTAAGGGATAGATTGCTTCTGAACCTGGAGGATCAGCATAAGGGCAGGGGCTCCGGCCCAGGGCTTGGTGTGGCATTACCTCCTTAAAAAATAAAAGATGAAGGGACTATTGAGCATTTAGCTCAGTGTTTCCCAACCTTGTCTGCTTTAAGGTGGGTGGACTTCAGCTCCCAGAATTCCCCAGCCAGCAGGGAAATGGCTGGGGAATTCTGGGAGTTGAAGTCCACCCATCTTAAAGCAGACAAGCAGACAGGGGCTGCCCCAAAGAAGAGGGAGTCAAGCTATTCCCCAAAGCGCCTGAAGGCAGGACAAGAAGCAACGGATGGAAACTAACCAAGGAGAGAAGCAACCTGGAACTAAGGAGAAACTTCCTGACAGTGAGGACAGTTAACCAGTGGAACTACCTGCCTCCAGAAGCAGTGAATGCTCCAACACTGGAAGTTTTTAAGAAGAGACTGGACAGCCATTTGTCCGAAATGGTCTAGGGTTTCCTGCCTGAGCAGGGGGTTGGACTAGATGACCTCCAAAGGTCATCAACTTTATTATTATTATTATTATTATTATTATTATTATTATTATTATTATTATTATTATTATTATTATTATTATTATGCTGGGAAACACTGATTTAGACCAATGTTTTTCAAACTCAGCTGGCTGGAGAATTCTGGAAATTCCACACTTCTTAGAGGTGCCACCTTTGCAAAACACTGATGCAGAAAAACTGGATGTTCAACCAGTCCTAGGCATTTCGGCCACTCCTTGATTACAGAATAACAGAGTTGGAAGGGACCTTGGAGGTCTTCTAGTCCAACCCCCTGCTCAGGGTGAAAACCCTATAGCATTTCAGACATCTTCTTAAAAACTTCCAGTGTTGGAGCATTCACAACTTCTGGAGGCAGGTTGTTCCACTGGTTAATTGTTCTAAGTGTCAGGAAGTTTCTCCTTAGTTCTTGGTTGCTTCTCTCTTTGACCAGTTTCCATCCGTTGTTCCTTTTCCTGCCCCCTGGTGCTTTGGAGAATAGGCTGACCCCCCTCTTCTTTGTGGCAGCCCCTGAAATACTGGAAGACTGCTATCCTGTCCCCCCTGGTCCTTCTTTTCACTAAACTAGACATATTTATTTATTTATTTATTTATTTAATTTAATTTATATGCCGCCCTTCTCCCTGCGGGACTCAGGGCGGCGCACAACATATTTAAAACCAAAGCATATATACAATCCCCCCCTATAAAACCGAATTAAACCAAATTTTAAAGTTGTGTCTTCCAAATTCCTAAAAACCCAGTATAAAATCCACCCTAGGTCAGGTCCGCTTGCTGAAAGAGCCATGTCTTGAGGGCGCGACGGAAGGTAAGGAGATCCGGAATCATCCGAATCTCGGGGGGTAGTTCATTCCAGAGGGTAGGGGCACCCAATTCCAGCAACCGTTCTTCATACGTTTTAGCCTCCAGTCCTCTGATCATCTTTTATTTTTTCTTCTGATCATCTTTGTTGCTCTTCTCTGCACTCTTTCTAGAGCAGGGGTGTCAAACTTGCAACGTCACATGACATATCACAACGTATCATGACTTTTTTCCCATTGCTGGCAATGGGGTGGGCGCGGTTTCGCTATGATACATCCATCCTGTGGGCTGGCAGTTTGACAACCCTGTTCTAGAGTCTCCCCATCTTTCTTATACTGTGGTGACCAGAGCTGGATGCAGCATTTCCTCACCAAAGCTTTGTAAAGTGGTGTTAACCTGGTGAATTAATCTGGTGAATGGGCAACTGCTCTCAAAAGCTTGTTTGGTGCCAAGGGGGCAGCCCCTTTCCTCTCTTCTGCAGAGGTGACCAGATGCTTCCATTAAATCGGATTTCTTCCTGCAGAGGGCCAAGTTGCCCAACACAGCGGAGGACAGCCAGAAGCAGCTCCTGTACTGGAGGGATCAGGAAGCAAAGCGCCATGAATTTGCCCGCTACGCCAGATCCCACGAGCTCGGGGTCATTAAGGGTAAAATGGAGGATATCAGTGAACAGAAGCGAGTCCACAAGGAGGTCCAGAAGAGGATTGGCGTGGAAATGCAGGCTTACCTGGCTGGCGAGGAAGAGAGGAAAGAGAGGTAGAGAGGAAGCACCCGGCCTTTCCTAATGGAGGGGGGTTTGTGGGGTTTGTGGGTTTTCATTTCGGCTGACTTGAGGAGAGAAAAACTGGCATGAGACCCCTCATTGTCTGAGCAACCCAGGTAGACCTCGACAGCTGCTCGTTTAGTGACAGTTTGACATTACAACCGCATTGAAAAAAGTGACTTATGGCCATTTTTCACATTTCCGATTGTTGTAGCGTCCCCATGGTCATGTGACTTGCATTCGGATGCTTGACAGCTGACTCACATTTATGACAGTCGCCATGTCCCGGGGTCACGTGATCCCCTTTTGCAACCTTCCGACAAGCAAAGTCAAGGGGGAAGCCAGATTCACCTCACAACCGTGTTACTAATTTAACAACTGCAATGGTTCACTCAACAAATGTGGCAAAAAAAAATAAATTGTAAAAGGGGCCAAAACTCACTTCATATATTTCTCACTTAACAACATAAATTTGGGGCTCAGTTGTGGCCATACGTTGAGGACCACCTGTACTGCCTGTCGACCCTATCAAGGAAGCCACGTTCACCTAAAATGTTGAACCATAAATTATCATTATAATAATAAAGTTGGAAGGGACCTTGGAGGTCATCGAGTCCAATCCCCTGCTCAGGCAGGAAACCCTACACCATTTCGGACAAATGACTGTCCAGTCTCTTCTTAAAAACTTCCAGTGTTGGAGCATTCACCGCTTCTGGAGGCAGGTAGTTCCACTGGTTAATTGTTCTCACTGTCAGGAAATTTCTCCTTAATTCCAGGTTGCTTCTCTCTTTGGTCAGTTTCCATCTGTTGCTTCTTCTTGTCCTGCCTTCAGCGGCTTTGGAGAATAGCTTGACTCCCTCTTCTTTGGGGCAGCCCCTGAGATATTGGAAGACTGGTATCATGTCCCCCCTCGTCCTTCTCTTCATTAAACTAGACATGCCCAATTCCAGCAATCGTTCCTTATATGTTTTACCCTCCAGTCCCCTGATCATCTTTGTTGCTCTTCTCTGCACTCTTTCTAGAGTCATAAACCCCAGAGGAAGAAACAAACATTAAAGCATTATGTGGTTTAGCTTTGGCTGAATAACAACAGGGAGTTGAGATGTACAAAGCTCCTTTATTTGAAAATTGGGAAAGCTGGGGAATTCTGGGAATTGAACCCCGGCCACCTTAAACCTAAACATTTGCAAAAGGTTTGTGGCCTGATTGGAAAACAACCCCCCATTGCCTGGGTCTCTTTCCAGGCTTCGGGATCTCCTGGAAGCTGAAGAGAAGGGCTTCATTGCCGAAATGGAATCCCAGGAAGAGACCCTGGAAGGCCGTCAGAACAGTATGAGCATGAGAGCCAAGGAGCTGAGGGAGAAGAGGGAAGAGGCTCGGCGAAAACTAGTGGCGGAAAAACGGGAGCAGCAGTTCCGGTAAGTGAGCCAAATCTAAGAGCATCCCTTCCGGGAACGCCTGTGGAGATTCTCGGTCCTCCGGGTCATCGTGGTCTCAAATAGGACTCGATATTTGACATGCCCTGGGTGGTTCTCTGTCCAAGAAGATTCCACAACCCATTGCACCTGTCTCAGGTGGCCCCGGGGGCCCAGGTGAGCCCCTGAGTGGCCTCATGCGCAGTCAGGGAGAGCGTTGATTCTCACAATGGATGAACTGAAGGGGTGTCTTGGATGAGAAGGGAAACATCTTCAAGGAAAAACAAAGAACGTCCAGATGCCTTCGGAAAAAGGCGCCTTTGGGCCCTATAATTGGTAGGTTACAATGCAATGAATAAATACATTTGGGCCTAACGTGTATCCATACTTACCTATCCTACGGTAGCATCTTTATTTGCCCAATTGCATATAAAGCAGGGGTAGTCAACCTTGGCTCTTTTATGACGCGTGGACTTCAACTCCCAGAATTCCTGAGCCAGCTGTGCTGGCTCAGGAATTCTGGGAGTTGAAGTCCACGCGTCATAAAAGAGCCAAGGTTGACTACCCCTGATATAAAGCCTTCTCCCTTCATATGCACTAAAAATTAATCACCGGCCATCAACACACCAATCAACCGGTAGGAAGGCACCACATACATACGAAGCGTAGAACAGCCCAAAGTGCCCGTTCCGGTAGGGAGAAGTTCCCTGAGGATGGGGGGCTTAGGCACACGTCCAAAAGCCCGGAAGAAAAAATCTCTGGTCCCGGTGACCGATCCAGATTGGATCTGGCAACTGGAAATTACATTTTCTCTTCTTCTTAATTTCGTTCCAGAGAAACTTGTGAGGAGTTGCGGTTACTACTAAGCCAGCAGCACATGAAGGAGGTGTGTAAGGACCGAGACAGCCAGCTGGCCCTCAAGGAGGAGCTGAGCAAGCAGAAGGAGCGGGAGGAGGCCGCCTACGCCGCCCTCTGGGAAGAGGACAGGCTGGCCAAGGAGGAACGAGCCGCGGAGGAGGCCAAGAAAAGGTCCGGCTGGCGGGAGGACATGATCAACACGCTCAACGCCCAGAAGGCCATAGCGGAGGCCCAGAGGGACGAGGCCAGGCGGCTGAAGGAAGAAGAGGCCAAGCTGATGGTAAGGTAGCTTCTCACTTGCCCATTATAGGGAGGCCTCGACTTGGCTGTACTTCAGCCTGGAATTACGGTCGTACATCATGATGGTCGCTAAGTGGGTCACCATGTGACCCTGCCTCATTTTGTAGCATGTTTTGTGGTGGTGGTGAAGTGAATCCATTGTGTGCAATGGGTGTTTTTTGCAAGACAGTGGAAGTAAATGCCCTTTGGGGGGCAAAGATTGTCATAAGTTGTGGTCACATGACTGCAGGATGTTACAAATGTCATGTCGGAGCCTCGAGTTACGACTCTAACAAGCCAGGGACCACTTGTACCGCACAGACATCAGTAAGAACAGGGGTTCCCAACCGGGGGTGCTCATATTCTCTGGGGATGCAAGACGATATTCCGGGGGGTGCAAAAACCTGGGCTTAGAAGTTTCAAAATTATAGTGTATGTGCATAATTTGTTGCCATTATGTCAAACTTTTGTAAGGGGTGCGAGAATACATCAGAAGCGTTCTAGGGGTGCGGGGTACAGAAAAAGGTTGGGAGCCGCTGAATAAGAAGTTTTAACATCCGAATCGGAGGAAGGTCCAGATCTGTCTTAGGAACATCCAATCATTAAGGCCCACAAGCTGGTTTCCAAAAGGTTTCAGCTATGATTCAGGGTTTTGGCTAAAGCCTTCCACGATACAGGTAGTCCTCGACTTATGACCACAACGGACCCCAAAGTTTACGTTGCTAAGCGAGACATTCGTTAAATGAGATCCTGCAATGGTTGTAAGCACGAAAACTGGTCACAAGTCACTTTTTTCAGTGCTGTTGTAATTTTGAATGGTCATAAGTCGACCCCAAGAGCGTCTCGTCTTGCCTCCGATGCCTCCCCAAAGACTGGCGGTCAAGCGCTGGGAGGGTGGCTTCGATTGGCAGCAGTTGTCCAGAGTTCCCGCAAGGGAGCACGTCCCATCCTTCTGCCTCGGTGCTCCTTGTTCTGAGGGAAATGCCAGGCTTAGCTACGGATCTCCCTCGGGACCATCACCGAAGGCTGATGTGGGGAAACCCACAACAATCTTACTCTGCGTTGCCTGGCAGCCTGCAGAGAGGAACAGCTACTCCCAGGTCACTTCTGTAGTTGCACCTAAGGGCCCCCAGATGGGTCTGACCTCCGTGTTCTGGTTTTTCCAATCAGGCAGGGCTGCCTGGTCAGGATCCTTTTGGGTTCTTAGCATCCTCTTTCCATCGCTCCAGGATTTTCTGTCTCGCCCTTTGTGGGGAGAATTCTGGGATGGAGGAGGTGGGATTGTAGCCTGTGGATCAGGCCCTGCTACCAAGGCCCTACAAGGCAATGTTCTGTCCCCCATCCGACTCACACACCCGAACCAGTCAGCCGAGGGCTAAAAGACTGCTCAGCACTGCCAAATACAGATAAACACTTGGCAGCAACTCCGTGGCTGCCTGCCAAGACCTTTACTGATAACTCACAGTACAAATACAAATCAAGTCCAGGATAATTCCGGAGTGCTGCAACAGAAGATTCAGTATTGTTCGTCACAAGAGTTTCAAACGGCACACCCCT